ATGTAGGGGTCCTTTCTTGGTTGTGAAGATGTAAGAAACAGGACATGAAGAGTACGGGAACCTGGGTGAGGCATATCTAGAACCTTCTGTGCTCCCTTTGTAAACTTTCGTAAACCTAAACCTACTCTAAAATAAAAAAGGATGGTTCGCATATTTTCTTTAAAAGGTTGTTGTTGTTGTTTTAATCTTCCTCGGAGCCCCTCCCCTTCCTTCCTGGAAATATAATCTCAAGTTCCTAATGTTTTTAACTAAATTCTGTAACTTTCTGCACAGCTTTTCAAATTCATTTAAAAAAAATATTGAATTTTGCACTTTATACGAGTAAATTTTATAGTATGTAATTTGTACCTTAATAAAATTTTTTTAAAAAGAAAAAAATTCTGTAAGTTCTATCCATTGATTGATTTTATTCTCTAGCTCCTTGCATATTGAAAATGTTTCTTCGTTCTTTTTTTTCCTTCCTCCCTCTTTCTCTTAGTCTCCTTTTTTTCGGATTTCGTGTGTGTGTGTGGGAGGGGTGTCTTTATTTTTTATTTTTCCCTCTTGTATAGAAATGTCTACTCTCTTTACGCTTCATTGCTTGGGAGCGTCCGTATTTTTCACACCCAGGTGCTGCGTTGGGAAGTGCGGGGTCTCTTTCACCGCATATGCGGAGGTGGGGGCTCTACTTTCTTGAGCAGCTGTGGGACCCACTCCCCGGGACAACATCAGCCAGCAGCCAGGATGCCAATCAGTCTGCAGTTTCGGAAATGAAACCGCCTGCAGCTTCCCAGACTTGCACGAGGGGTGCAGGTGAGCGCCTGGTGAGCGTCGGTGTGCGCATGCGCGCCCTTCCCATCTCCCGGGACACGTGGTGAGGCTGGTGTCCCGAGCGCAGGACACACGGATACACCGAGGGCGACATGGAAGCAGGCTGCCTTCTCCGGGGGAGTTTGCTCCGAGGCTGGAGGACAGCCTCCAAGGTGGCCGAGAGGAGTCCTCAGCAAGCGATGCTGTTCAGCAAACATCCTGTTCGTTTTTGCTGTGATTTTTGCACTCTCATTTGGCAGTCCTATCAGCTCAGAAGTTTACACTTAACAAAACCATCAGTTTGTCTTAACTTCCAAGGGAGTCAAATCTCATGTATGATGCAGTAAACGTATCCGAAATGCAAATCAAAGTGTGGCTGTTTTCATTCCCATGTGACTCACTCCTGCTCCAGCTGGTGACCGCGGACCCCAACGGGGCCTCCCTCCCCGATGAGACCTCTTAACGAGGACCAACTGGCCCTCAGCGTTTGGAGAGAGCCGTGTGCGGGGCGATGCAGGGGGGTGTGAGCAGAGTCCCCTTGTCTACGCCCCTTGTCCCTGCTCACACCTGCAAGCTGGGCTCGTATGGGCACCCCCAGGGCCCAGGAGACTCTTTCCTGTGGACGTTTTCCTTCTCATCAACCCCCCACCCCGTTTTCTTGCCACTCCCACCTGCTCCCCTGGATCCTGGTTCTTTACTCCTATCGGGTTAAATTTAGGGCAGCCTTGGCTCCCACACTGACACTCTTGCCCCACCTGTCCCCTAAATCCTGGAAATGCTTAACCTCCAGGGCAGGATGTAGTCAGAACCGTTTTCTGTCCCATCGGCACCGTGGGGTAGAAGCAGGTGTCCTTCTGGGACCTGAAGAAGGGCCGGCATGGTGTTCCCAACCCTGGGGGCGGTGGGGGCTGCTTTCTCTTTCTCATTTCTTTCTTTCTTCTCTTTTTATTTTTGATCTATTCAAGATATCTGAAAACCAAACGACAAAACCAGATTTCTTCAATTTCCTGCCAATTTAGCTTTCGGATCTTTTGCTAAAATAAAACCAAACAGTGCACGTCTCTTTACTTCTTTTGAATTCCAATTGCAATCCCTTCTCTCTGTGTGTATGTGTGTATCTTTCAAGCAACAACATTCTGCACGTATAATATGCCAGGCACTATTCTAGGTGTTTTCACATGTTCCTTTATCTCTCCCAGCAGCTGTGGGAGTTCAGCGGTACTGCAATCCCCGAATCCCAAACGATACACCCAGAGAACAGCCCAACAGGGACGTGAACTCCAGGGGCACAGCCCTAGAGATGTGCCCTTACTTAGCATCCTGTACTCCTTCTCCAAGAGCTTCAAGCAGGACCACTCCCTAATTTCCAGGGCCCAGTGCAAAACAAAAATGCAGAACCCCTTGCTCAAAAATTATTACAAATCTCAAGACGGGGCAGCAGAGGATTAAACCAAGATTAGGAGCCTCCGGAGCGGCCAAGAAGCAGCTCCATCTTCAAGGGCTGCTTTCCAGTGTGTGTGTGTGTGTGTGTGTGTGTGTGCATTTGTGAAAAAAATTGCTAGTTTTATGTAGAGGGAAAAAGTGAGACACGGAAATTGTTCTGTTGCATATGAGGTGTATCACTGTTTTTGTATTGTAGTTCTCCTTTGTTTATTCCTCTAAAATGACAAGTTAAGTAACCACTGGGTGGTCTCAATGGACAGTTCAATATCCAAAGCATCGTATCAACCATTTCTGGATCAGATGCAGCTCCCCTCTCCTTCCTGAAAGCCCATTAGTTCCCATCTTTGTGATTAGTTTTAAAAACAGTGTGTGACTGCAGCAGGACATTAAAAAAAAAAAAAAAGATTAAACAACAAAAAAGAACAATTGCCCCACACTTTCCACATGCATGAAATTATGTGAGCAGAGAAGGTAGGCTATCTTCTAAATAAATCGTTCTAAGTATTGGTAAGGATCATACCAGCATAAGATTGTAAAAATAAATCTATATAAGCAAGAAATCCATACTGGTGCTACATTATTAATATACGTATATGATTTTATTTGATTGTCTTTATTTTTAAGTGATCTTAAACATAATTTCATTGCATCATTTTTAAAACAACACAAGACTTAATTGACTTGAATAAGGACGGTGGTGAAGGTGAGGACCTCAAACCAAGCCTGAAAGTTGGTCTGGCCACAGTTGAGCAGGGACTACGGCCCCACTGTGTGGCATCGCTGACCTCGCACGGGCCCCTCACTCCCGTGCATCACCCACGGAAGACGAGGAACCCCAAAGGATATCAGCAAGACCAGGATCTTGGGCCACTCCCTTTTAACCATGATCAGTTTGTAAAAGTTAATCCAATGTATACGAAGTTACAGAACTGATTTGTGAAAGCGATTACAGATAATCAGCAGTGGAGTGTATTTGATAATCGCCGGCATCCTCGTGGGGGGCCAGACCGATGACAGGTGGACAGAGAGTCACGTGGGGTCTGCAGCCCAGCGCTCGCCCGCGTGGCTGCAGTGGGCGGACAGGAACTAGCCCAGGGGGTTGTCGCCTCCAGTAGCCTGGTTCTGCGCGATTTTCCGCAGTTTATCATTCAGAGATCTTCCTGGCAGTATTTGCTAAAGTTGAACCTAGGCACAGCCTATGTCACGACAATTCGACTTCTAGGTATCAATGCCACAGAAATGTGTACATAGGTCTTCCCAGATACTTCCAGAGAATGTTCATAGAAAGTTTAAATGCCCTGTTTTCATGTAATGGGCCTAGATTTTTATATTAGCAACCGAGCCAAAAACCGTAAAGCCACGCGGGAGCCAAGCGAACGGAGCAGCTGCCCGCGTCGGAGCGGGGCTCACGGGTTACAACCTCTCTCCCGGGACAGACAAGCCCGATTCGTAGCTCAAGTTACAAGGGGATTCGCGAAGATCTTCTAACGATATACTGCGCGCCCCGTAACCAACCAGGCTGGGAAGACCCCCTCTCGGCACAGGGCTGAGAAGGAGCGCCGATCTCTCCGGGGGCCTGGTGGGGCTGCCTGTCACTTGGCCGGGGGGCTTGCTGGCTCGTCCATCCGTCCCGCACAGGCGAGCAAGTCAACACCCTCAAGTACTTAGTTATCAGCACCCTTCCTGAGTTTGCATGTAAGACAAGCGCCTCGGGTCTGGGCCCCTACACTTAACCTTAGAAACGATCTGTTATAGGAAATCCCACTGTAACATCATTTCTCCTAAAGCAAATTGGGAGAAAGCTAGGGAAAGGGACGCTGGACCACCAGTGCTCCCGTGGAGACCCCCACCCCACCACCACGGGGTTACCTCCTCTTCGCCCGTTTCCTCACTGCTAAATAAACTCCTCCTGAACCACTCTGACTTCCCTCACAGTTTCACACTCGAGGAAGACGGGATTCACATTTTAACGCTGGTTTAAACTCAAAGCAAAATAAACGTTAGGAATACTTTATGTGGCGGAATGCATCATCTGCTGATAAACTGTGCTAAGTCATGGAAGAGGAACCGGGAGGCAGCTGTAGACCACAGGGGCTTGGCGTGCAGGCCTGTCGATCTGGAGCACGATCTTCTCGGCCCATATGCTCTAAGAATTCCTTACTTTATATCTGTCTCTATAGTGTCGACGTGAACAAATTCTTTTTGAAACATGTAAGATATTCACAATTGCAAATGCTTTGTTTCCTACCCTAACACATATTACTTTATAATGTTTTACGAGTATGCACTGAATTCTTACTTATTTTTAAAGATGTATTTATTTTATAGAGAGGGAGAGAGAGCGTGCCTGTGGGGGGGCGGGCAGAGGGAGAGGGAGAGAGTCTCAGGCAGACTCCCCACTGAGCACAGAGCCAGACGCGGGGCTGGATCTCATGACCCCGAGATCATGACCTGAGCCGAAACCGAGTCCGAGGCTCAACTGGTTATACCATCCAGGCGCCCCCGCACTGAATCTTTAAAATGGCATTTAGGTACGTGGAGAGAAACCAAAATATGAGTGGTGTTAACCAAACTCAATCAAAAGGCCAGGCAGAAGGCACGAAGTTTTTTTATTTGGTGATTCAAGTTAGCAGCAACACTAGGACTATGACTCACCTCCTAGATCAGGACTCCTGCTCGGCCTATACTTTTAAATTATAATTTTGTAAAACACAGTAAGTTGCAAAATATATTTGATTTTAACCAGAAAGCCAAAATTGTGGTCATCAGAGCTTTAAACAACGTTTAATCTTAGACACAAAATACAAATCATCTCTTGTTTCGTTTTGAAAAGCATATTCTTAAACACATTTCAATGTGGACTGGAGAAAATAAGTATAGACCAGGGTCTATTTTTTTCCACCTACTGTTTAAACTAGAGAAGGAAACTGTTTAATAAAGTAAACTCTAAACCAATGACATTTACAAAAAAAGACAAGCAGAACAAGGGAGATTGATGTCCTAAAGACGCATTTGTGAATGCGATTCTCTATTAGATGGAAAGGAGGGTGGTGTCTCTGGCATATTCTCAGCCAGGTAACAAGCACAAGGCACCGAACACCCTTCAGGACGCCAGGAACTTTAATGAAACCTCAACTTCTGTAAAGCTAATAACATGAGTATGTTTTAAAGGCTGGGATAATAGCAGCAGTTTAAAACAGAAGACTAGGAAATAAAGGGCAAATAGATTCATTATAAATGTATTCATTAACTTCTAGTGGAGATTTTATTTTTACATAAGAACAATTAGAGCTATTTTTTCACTTCATGCTCATATGCGTAAGAATCGGAATTACCCCCCGGTAAAGTTTCTGAAGTGACTGAAATTAGCTAGGAAAAAATACATGTTAGGGATAGACACACGAGAGAATGACTTCCCTCCTGTGAAAAATATCTGGTGGTCCATCAGGTGATATAATATTACAGATAAAAACTGCAGACTTGAAGTAAACCAGAAGAATTTAAATAGTACCTGTATTTTAAGTCCAACTGCTTAATATATTTCAATGTAAGCTTTTAATTACTTTTTCATATGTCAAATGCAAGATTTCTATAATTTTTTTTTGTTTTACTTTCCACAATGCTAACTGCAAAAGGAGAGGGGCATACTTAACATAAAGAGAAAGGTTGGATCCTGAGATTCCCCAAGAATGTCCTCATGTCCGACAGACACGGACACTTAGTTCCGCAGTCGATAATGGAATGCCATTTTGGAAGAAATGATTTTTGTCCCCTTGCAACCTGTGCTCCGTCCAGGTCAAGAAGCCATGACTAAGTCGTTCAACATGGCATTAGAGTGAGAAGCCTACTTCTAGCTTTCCCTAAACGGGCCCTAGTTCTTGTAATTCACATGACACCCTTTGGCTGTGGTTGTCTGTTAAATTTCCTGTTTTGGTCTAGTATCAGCAAATCAAAACAAGTAGCTCCCAGAAAAGGCTATGGTAACTACTGTTTTTCTTCCTTTTGGTATTTCCAGTTAAGTATCTTCTCCTTAGAGGTACAGAGAAAGGAAGGAACACAGCCACAAACAAGGTGTAAGTAGGTCACAGAAGCTTCAATGCACCAAAAAACGTGCCGTCCCCATCTCGTGATATTTTAGCATCCTCACGTGGTATTGCAAGCTGGATCTCATCTCCTTCTTCCAGCTTTGCGATGCCTGGAAAACAATGATTTACAGGGACTTTAAGTGGTTGTACAATATGGGAGGCAGGGTGGGGGGGGTGCATTAAATAAAACGATGTTATTTTGGAAAAATGTTAACATAGGCATTCACACTTCAAGTGACATGAGCGGACTTCTAGTCCAGTTACTATTCTACCAGCCTAAAAACAAAACAAAACAAAAAGCTAAAGCAAACGAGCAGAAAGATTCACAACAGATATAAATGTATTTATCACCTACTGTCTATAAAATGGAGACTCTGAACAGAAACCAATGAAGAAAAAAAAGTTAAGTAAATCATAGCACATCCCTTGTTGGGGTATTGTCTGGTTAAAAGTGGTTTTGCTTCATTTTATTAACAAAATGGTTTATAATAGTGTTTAAAATGTTAAATAAAAATACAAAATAGAAATACAAAAAAATAAGGATGTTAAATAAAATAAAAAATAGAAATACAAAAAATAAGGATGTTAAATAAAAATACAAAATAGAAATACAAAAAGTACACACACACTATGCAGTATGTATTTACCACATAGACGCTGCATAAATACACACTTAAATGTGCGTTTAAAATGTGTATATTACTAAGAATAAAAAACAAAACACCACATATTAGCAAAGCCCATCTGTTAACATAGTTTTTCTCTGGAGTCCAGACCATGGGGTTAGGAGTCATTTGGATTATTTTTTATAGCCTTCTATATTTCCATGAGTCCTTAAATGACCATATTTGTCCTTGTAATCAAAAGCAATAAAATACTTAGCTTCTCAAAACTGACCAATAAATCTTTATGTGCCTAATTTACAATGATGTGTTCTGTGATTCAGGAACACAGAATACAATTCAGGAACTACACTCGGTACATCAGTAGGGACCCCATTTCAAAGACAAACATGAAGGGAAAGAAAGGACAATCAGGGGAGAAGAAGCAAAGAAACTAACAAAATAACATCGAAGCTGTTAATACTTTCAACCAATTTAAAAAGTAGTTGCATTTTTGTGAAGATGCCGTGAAAATGTATTTACACGACTATATTATGTATGTTAACATCCATCATCAAGCCGAAAGCACCCAGATCGCCTCAGGCAACAGCCAGTCAGTCTTTATTTATCGAAACTTACGATGTACCAGACACCTTTCTAGATACGCACAGGGCTGTGATCAGAATGACAAAAGATTCTGTCTCCAAGGATCTTGTTTTTTTTGTAATGGACTAAGACAGACAACAAACAAAAGAACAGTTTCAGGTATCGTGAAGGGTAATGTGCACACGTTTTAGGATTAGCAAAGCATTTGATGACTATATGAAAAAATATAGACTGGAATTTACTTGTTGGATAAATCAGTTGTTATCATAAAGAATGAAGAGAATCTAATATTTTGACAAAGGTTATCGATCACGGAGCATTAAGTAATACTAACTCTCAAAATAAAGTCAGTGTGAACCGACGATTTTCAAGTAGGGTCTGTTTGAAACTCTTAACACTGAGTTTTTGGCTATTTCAATTCTTCCAGATTACAGCAACCAGCTGTAACCTCTACAACAGACACTCGATTTGTTAGTGAAATAGTGAGTAAGGCCCAGCTTTGTGTAAGGGCGGTGCTTGGTGTTATGCTGGACTCCTCAAATGGACCATTTGCATTTTCTTCCAGGTTATTATGTACGGGAGCACTGCATGCTCTTATGTACTAATAGGTAGCTTTTAATGGTTTTAAGCAGATTGGCGCTAGAACAGATGAGAATCGCAAACCTGGAATGTCCTGGAGAACGGTTCTCATACCTAACACTAAGCTACGGCACTGAAACACAGATTTCAGGTCTAGTGAATTAGTCTTAAAAGGCGAGGCCCCTGGGAAGTGTGGCCGAGAGCGTGAGCACGGACGGGCAATGACCAGCACGGCCCCTGTAAGTACCGCTGAGTCTGGACTCAGTCCAGACGGGGGTGGCCACGCCGTTCTGTGGGTTTTCTGCAACGCCAGGATACTGGCTATTGCTGGGCGCAGGGGAACATCTCTTTATGAAAATGAGGGAGTTTCAATTCAACACACTTCCTCATTATCCCCTTACAGCTGTTTATGGCCGCGGGTCCACAGTGACAATCGTCTCCGATTTTCCTTCCTTCCTGATTGAGTGATTGTGCACTTGGTAGCAAATGACTTCGAAACTTAGGGTTTCAGAGGAGGCGGCCAGGCCCCATGCCTGTGTTTCAGGGAACTGTCTGGAACTGAAGACATTCCTCAGGGTTCTCAATGGATTTGTCAAAGTCACCAGAGAGGAATAAATGTGTTAGAGGCAAATATGGGTTTTTTCCCCCCCTAATAGCAGCTTTGATGAATTTACCCTCAAAATAAAATAAAGACTATGTTGGCAATTATAGCCCAAAGAGCTGAAGTGAACAAAGCCCTCCCTTTCTCTTTCTTTTCTCTCCGCATCTTCACTGACCCTGAGCCGAAGGAGCCTTGCTCCTGCTCGTTTCCATCTCAAAGTCAAATGTGCACCAGACGTCACCTGAAGGAGAGGGGAGAAAGCCTCTGGGCAACCTGACCGGACCCTCGATCCGGTCAAGGGCATGTCTTCAGCAGCACGTAAAACAAAAACACAAAGAAAAAAAGCTTTGGGGGCTCACACTCTGGGGTCAGACCGGTTGGTTTAATCCAAGTTCTGGAACTTGGAAGCTGTGCCATCTGGAACAAGGTGCGCTACCTCTCTGTGTCTCAGATGCTGCCTCCCTTAAACAGGGGGGATCATACGAAGGAGCCCAGGTCAGGTGCAGACAAGGATGCCTGGCACATGGCAATCATTCCCTGTGTTCTTACACAGTATTATCTACCGAAGAGCAATAAAACTATTAGTAATGATTTTATCCGTTTCGACTCAAACGAACTAACTCATCCTTCCAGAGAATAAACACCACACAGTATATTGAGGAATGTCTTTCTATTTATACAGAACTGTTATTTACCAGCTGAATAACAGGAATTATTGGGTAGTGTTTCAGGCATATTTTGAATACATCGGAACAAAGTCACCAGACTCAATTCGTCCCCAAAGACGTGGACTTTTTTCCTCTGTATTAGATGTCCCATGGCAAAGGTGTTATCGGTGTATAAAACCTGAGGAACAAACAAAGATGCTGGTCAGAAGGGAGCATGGCAGGGAGACCCGGGGCAGAGGGAGCAGGTGGGTGGGGAACCTACCTGACCGTATATAAAGAAGTAACCGGTTTCTTTCACCAGTATTTTATTTTCCTTCTCCTCCAGGGCCCTTCCTCTTTTAAAGCTCAGCAGCCACGGAACGAACGTGTATGCTCCTGTGACACAGAGAGAAGGCTTGTGAGAAGAGCAGTTTTTCACCTCTGCTCAGAGGCTAAACCCGAGTCTGAAACTTAGGGAATTTCATCTTCAACAAAAAGAGGCAAAGGAGACCAATCAGGACTCTCCACTGGTATTTCAGCCGTGGTTCGCACATGACCCCCCGCGCCCCTCGGGAACCCGAGGGCAAGCACGTCCTAAGAAATGTCTGTGTTTTCTTCCAGTCTTGTGTGCGTTTCAGCCATGTTCACCAGAAAGCCTGGTCTGCATAGGACCAAATGGACCAAATGGACCAAATGTCTCTGAATGACGGAGATTTTCTCGTTTTCCTTTGGTTCCTGGATAGGAGGGAGTTAGGATGGGAAGAGTTTAGCGCAGGGCACGGGGGAAGGAGGGGAAGGAGGGGAAGAAGCCCCCTCCCCAGAAGGCACCAGAACAGTGCTTAGGGGCAGGCAGCGAAGGAGTGACCAAGACACAATCTCTACTGGACAGGGTCAAGGAACTCGGCGGGACTCGTCTGTGATATTCAAGTTGAAGTGGTTACTGGTCAGCACACAAATTCTCCTCCGTGACCCCTCAGATGCCCTTGGGGAGTGATGGGGGAGCCGCCGAGCGCACGAGACCGAGGAAGGGGACACAGAGCTGCTGGTGGTTACAGAAATGGTTGGGCAGGAGGGGACCCAGTCTCCGCGCTGAACACGTGCTCTGGGACAAACACCTGTGAGGAAGGTTATATACTCCTCTCCCATGAATTCACAGCGTTAAATTCACTGGATTTCTCACCATTGTGTAAAAATACTGGAGTAAACTGTGAACCCTGAGGCTAGGTTAAGAATGCGGGGGTTCTAAATAAAATGGCATAAACCAAGTGAAAAGATTAGGGAAGTGGTAATATAGGGAGAGAATAGTGAAATGAAACTATAGTCTAAAAAATGTTCCCTTATAATTGGTAATGCTGGACCACACTATGTCCCCAGGCTTCACCTTGGTCATAGCAAAAAGGGAAATAATAGAACTCAGAGTCCACAGGGCAATATGCCAGAAGCTCAGAGCAAAACAACTTGTCCTGGACTGAGTTTAAAGAGCAATTTCCCCATGGATTTTTGCAAGGGGGTAGCACCGTAGGATGTGGTGGTTGGTGATGCTTTCAGACTCATAAATACAACTGCTGAGGGAACGTGCCTGCTTCAGCTAGCTCCCCCAGGGCAAACCCATCATAGCTGAACTTTTTCCTAATAGGATTGAGGGGAGAGTATAAGACAAGAACCCCATATTTTCAGGACACTTCAGAGAAGTAAAGAACCCAAGGACACTATGAATCTGAATTCCGTCCCCTACATCAGTCCTCCAAGTCAGCAAGTCCACAGGTGGAGGGTGGGCAGCTGTGAGGGAGACCATGAAAGGAGCCACGGGTGCCTGTGGACAGAAGGCTCTCGTCCCTCTTCTTGTGCGCTCCCAGGATGTGCCTCTGTCTCCTACGGGGAGGGAGGCCCCCAGGATTCGGCAGGCCTGATCACCTGGCTCTGCTGTTCCCAAGAAGGTCTGTGAGGAAACTGGGCTTGGATGAAAGCCCCCCGGGGCCACACTGCAAGGGGACAGTCCCTGGAGGAAAGGTCTCCCTCAGTAACACGTCACAGAGGCAAGCTCATCATCCGTCGTTTGACATTTGTTTAAAGGAGATCATGTGCTCAAGGCACTTTTAAATGCAGAGTGACCAAAATATGAGGAAGAATGATTTATCGTGTTGTTATTACTGTAAAACACAATTGATGAGGAAAGAGGGCCGCTCCCGTGCTCGTGAGGACACCGGCCGGATGCTCTGACCCAGGCGCGCCTTTTCTCCCTTCCAAACAGCACACGTCTGAGATTCGGACCTCTCCGGGTCTGGGCACCCCCGAAGTCCGGTCCCCTGCTATTTCCCAGGGCCTGAAATGATGGCTGGCCAATGGTGGACTGAACAGTCAATGAACTAACTACCTCAACTTTAAACATAAACAAATTCAAAGTGGGGGTGTCCTACGCAGTTGCCCACAAACATCCCATTGTGTTTCCAAAGCTTCGTATTATTTATTAATTTATTCTTAAAAGCATTTTATGAGCTGGTTGCTGGAACTGTGTGAGATGGAACATCATCACAGAGGTAGTATGTACTCGCAAGGTAAAGGAAAGCGCACGTTTCCAAAACTGCTTGCTTACATTCTGGCTGGAGATGTTTATTGACTAAACTTTTCTTCAATACCTTAAGTTGATTTCCTATTTCTTTACACCATACGTACATCTATAAAATTAGTGAGCTGGTTTTTACCAAATTTCACTGCTGCATTGCTTCTCTTGATTTTTTAATCTTATCATCACACAGCTGCTGGAAATAGTTTTAGGGGATAAGATACTGATAATGCTTTTTTAAAAGGCAGATTATATCAACCAGTTCAAGCCGCAGTAATTTCTTATATAAAACAAGTGCTGCTTGGCATGGAGATCCACAGTTATGACAGGTTTGATTCTGTCGTTGGGGCAGAGCAGGGGGGTCAGGAGGGAGCACGGGCAGCCAGGCGGGGCTGTGGGGGCTGAACCATACGAAGGGCCTTTGGAGGCCCCTGCTGGGCTGTGAGCAGTGGAGAGAAATGATTATTCTGCTTTAGAAATGTCACTCTGTGTCTACCAGACAAGAATGGGGGCCAAGGAAACCAGCCAAGAGGAGAGATATGAAGGGGATCTGTAACAGGATGGTGAGATGGGCACGAAGGGCGATAGATTAATTCAGGTTACGTTCATGGGGAATAACTGATAGAGTTTGAGACTGATGTACTGAGTCAGAGGGACCAGTCAAGAATGACACCCCAAATTCTGCCTGAAACAACCGGGGACACAGTCATCACACTCACTGAAATAGGAGGAAAGCTGGGGACAAGTCCTACAGTCCGGGCTGAGATTCCACCAAGTTGTAAAGAAAGAGGTGTTAAATAGAGGTGTATATAAGCTTGGAGCTAAGTGGTTTGGGCTAAAGATTTACACTTAACCATCAGCACATACATGCTAAGGGACAACATAGGAGTATTTAAGAACGCCAAAGGAATAAGAAGAAGGAAAAGAGAATAAGACTGTATCAGAGGACTGAAGAACATCTATACTGGGGAGATACATTATAGAGTAATTTGCAAAGAAATTTAAAAAGAAGTGGCCAAAAGAGTAAGGAAATTATTAGGGAAATAACCCAAGGGCAGCATATGTTTCAAGAAGGGAGTTATCAAGTGTCAAATTCCATTGGGAGAGTAAAAGTAAATTTCATTATTGCCTGTACGAAATAATTAGACGGCAAGGCAGAAATAAACAAGAGACTTCTGCTATCGACACAACTGTGGAAATAACGTCTGTCCTTTTTTACCTCCTGTTCAGTCATGTGAAAGAAGCAGACAGATGCATGTTCTCCAGAGTAGCTGTACGGGCTGCCAAAAGTCCCTGGGATCGCACTGGGGCTGGGTGTGGGAAGCCAGGAAAACAGTGACAGGTCCTGACAGGGGCCAGCTTCACAAAGAGCCAGCAAAAATCAACTCCCTAATGGTGAAGAGCCCTCATATGCATATAGAAATCTCCAACAAACTCACAGTCCAGGAAATGCCCATGTTGGCTAAAAGAACATGGAAGATGAGGAGGAAAAAAATCATTGAAATGAAAATAAAAGTTTCAGAATGGGAAACAGGTTTTGCACAAAACAAAGTAAGGTGGAAAGAGTTTAGAATTTGAAAAAAAAAAATATATATATATATAGAACTATCGAATATATAGGACCTGTAAGACAGGTCAAGAATTACCAGCATACACGTCATTGGAACCCTGGTAGACAAAACCAGCAACAACAAAAAGTCAAGTAGAGCAACCACAGACGGGGAGGCGCACCCCGGGCCAGGGAAGTTGATTCCATATAGCTTCATTAGTTTTGTGTTGCTGCTGCAACAAATTACCACAAACACAGTGGCTTAAAACAACACACATTTACTATCTCACGGTTCTAAACATCACAAGTCTCACTGGGCAAAAATCAAGGTGTTGGCAAGTCTGTGTTCTTTCTGGAAGCTGCCAAGCCCATCCCTTGCCTTTTTCTGGCTCCTACAGTCTGCCTGCTTTCCTTGATTCCTGGCCTCCTCCATCTCCCAGGCACCAGTCTCATCATTCCCAACTTCACTTTCATCCTCACATCACTTCTCTGACTCTGACCCAACCAACTCACTCTGTAAGGATGCTTGTCATTACCCTGGGTTCACCCAGATCAGCCAGGGTAGTTGCCCCACATTTCTTTCTTTTTTTTTTTTTATTCTTATGTTAATCACCATACATTACATCATTAGTTTTAGATGAAGTGTTCCATGATTCATTGTTTGTGCATAACACCCAGT